TAGTGTGTGTCTGTGTGAGTCGTGGCGACAACTTCATCACTCAATGGACGCGGTCGCAGCTTGCGCTGACAGTTACAAATTATGATTGATTGGGTACAAATTCACCCAATCTGCCCAGATCAGCACTCCTTGGAACGCTATCGGGGCGCATTGCTCTCGTTGGTGGATTGCTGCCATAAATACGCATTAGAATTAAGTTGCATAAATTTCATATGGAAATCTGTTAGAATTTATCGAAAGCGTTTTAAATAAATTTCGAGCATCACTTCATAAATAACATGGCCGGGCATTATTTAGCTCCGGGACGAGAGACTATTAAAATTTAATGCTCGAACAGAGCATTTATTGAAACGAGAACTTATTTCGCTCCGCCCCCGAAATATGGAAAGTTCCGCACCGAGCCTTCATAAATCATTTGGCCAGCTTCAATACAGGACCAGACAGGACAACAGTTCGGCCGGCCAGGAAGGCGATGCCTCAGCTGGGAACCGCCAAAAAGCAAGATGAACATAAAAACAAGGAGGAAAAAAATCGGAAATATCCTGCTTCTTAGATACACTTGGATGGGAAAGTATGATGAAGGTATAATAATTAATAAAAATTAAACTATTAATCAAAAACAAGCACCAGTTTTAAGGAAGTTAATATTATAAGTTAAATTTTAAGTTTGATTTAAACAGACCTTTATTCTTTTTTAAATACCCTACAAAATTTGGCGAAAAATTATGTTCCATTTCATGCTTGCTTGCTTAGATAATTGCCAATGTTGCCGGGTGGGGGAGATGGGGCTTTGAAATTCAGGACCTTCTCGTTTTTCTCGACTTGCCAGTGGCTTACGGAATTTGCAATGCTATAAATCAACATCAAATAGTTGACTGCCCGGGCTACGACTTCTTCAGTACACTCCTCGGTACCTCCGCTTTTTTACTCCAATTCCCAATCGGGAAAATCGCATTACAGAGCTTTCCACTGATGATAATTCTCAATAATTAAAATCATTTAAGTTTAAGAAATCCTTTTAGCTGACTTAACTGGCCCCGGGGCACAAATTGACTTCGTTCCGTTCCGTTCGTTGTTAATAAATCATAAACCGGACTGGTGCCGGTGCTGGGAATGGCAATGGGGATGGCGACGGGGTATGGCCTTGCTTTGCGTAGTTCCGACGCCCCGAAACTGATTGCAAAAGTTAAATGAACTTAAAGTTTTCCGTTTTTTCGTGTCTTTGTGTTTTAAGCGGCTTAGCCCGGCCCGAAACTTGCTCGGCTTTGCATATTGATGCGGCATTAGGTGGCAAAAGTTGCGGCAATGTTGTAGCAACAAGTTCGGCGACGCAACTATGGATTGCTGTGGCAGGACGATAAACTGTATAAGCTGTATAAACTGTATCGCGCATACGCACTGTTGACGCCTTGGGGCAGGCTGCACATTGACATTCAGCCGGCGTTTGCCACAGATTCCAGATACCAGTTCCAGTTCTGGTGGCATGGGGGCAAGATTGGGAATAGAGATAGAGATAAGACATTGCCGATTGAGTGGGTGGCGGATGATCCGAATTCCGGATGCGGAATGGGATTTTTATGCTAGCCATAAAGTTGCCGCCTGCATTTCGGTTTCGTTTTGTTTGGCCATTAGCCTTTGTTTTGTTTTATTGCGCCAAGATCTGGGCCACTATGACTACTGCTGGCTATATATGTTATTTGTGACACTGCTCTGTTTACTCGCCATTGTTGTTGCACTAAATCAAAGTGTCGTTTGTTTGCGGCATGCAAAGGCCAGGCCACACCACCCAGCAAATCAAACACGATCCGGCGGGGTTGGAGTTTATTGGCACTCGGATTCCGATTGGGATTCTGTCTGGGATTTTATGGCCTCATTTTGGCTTTTGCATAGCAATTAGCCCGGCCCGATTCAATTCGCCAGCTTCTGCTGCCAGAGAGAGAGAGTGCCAGTTTTTTGTGTTCTGGTTGCTTAAAGTGCGGAAATTGAGGAGGAAAAATAATCACTTCCAAAATAAACAGGATGCAAATGAGAAAAATAAATCATATTTTCCCGGTTTCGAATGATGGCTGCCCTATCACATTCTCTTCGAAATATTTAGGCTTTTATAAGAATTTCACTTAAAACCTTTACATTCATAGTTTATAGCCAAGATCAAGTTTATTGGCTTTATTAGGCCTTTGATTTTACATTTGAACCGTTAAGATAAATTTAACAAAAGCCTCTAAAAATCTTTAAAAGAAATTCGTGTCAGTTTTGAAGTGAAAACAACTTTCTTGATTTTTATAGATTATTCTCCAGTCTAGCTATAGCTATTCGCATTTAGGTAACCCATTGGGATTGCCCTCCGGAGTCCGGACTAGGCAAGTGTCCTCAGACAGTTGAAATACCTTATCAGAGGACATGTATATCCAGCGAGGAATACAAATATCAAATAAACGACAGCGCACTGAACCGCGAGAGCTGCAAAATGTGCAAAAGTACATAAAGAAAATTGCAATAACAATTTGGCGCAGACAGAGCTGAAAAAAAAAACAAAAAAATCAACCGAAAATAAAATAGAAATATTTAACAAAAAACAGTTGAATTTTGGGTAGATTCTGTTGTTGCTACTGCTGCTCCTGGGTGCACGGCATTTGCATAGAAAAATTCAAATTAAGCGAAAATGTGCAAAATGCTGTGAATCGTTTTCTGTCAGTCTGCCTCGCCGCCTGCCACCGCCCTATCCCGGGCTTTATCTGTTTGCCACCAACCACCCACACCCACCTATTGGGCTTGTGGATGCAACAAATGAATGGTCAAATAAAAAAAGGACAAAGGATTGGCAAGTTGGGAAATGAGCAGCCAAAGCAAGGCAGTAGAAGAAGATACTAGGCGGTGGTCTGGTTGGGGGGGCTTTGGGCTACAAAAAAAATCACTGGCAAGGACTCGGCGTGAGAGGTATCTGAATATAAAGAGTGCAATCGAGTGCTTTAAGTGCTCCTCTAATGACAAAGCAAATTGTGTGTATTTTCTGGCACAACAGCCACCGGCTTGCCAGTTTGTTGTGCCGGAATTGGAAAAGTTGTAGTAGAGTTTTCAGCTATTTCTTTGCCGTATTTTCAATTGAATTAATCAAGGGAAAAGCCTGCTTGTAAGCCAACCGCAGGTGCAAGCAGTGCAGCTTTTATACCTGCCCTTTGTTTCTTTCCTACTACTCAGGACTCTCTCGCTTTTTCTTGGCAGGAGTTACACCGAAGGGCTAATTGTTGTTGCTGTTTGCACTGCTTAATTAAGACGTCTGTGCCACCTGCCTTCTTTCTCCATATCCTCTTAGCCGGCCTTTTTCTGTTTTTATTTGCATAGGCACCTCTCCAACTCCAACTCCCACTTCCACTCCACAATCCAGTCCTGGGCATTTCAACGTCAGAGGCTGTCGACGTCAAAACCCATGACTTTTCAAAACCCATGACTTCAATGGAGAATGAAAAGTGCCACTCCAATCCGCCTCAGGAAGCTATTGTAGTTGCTCCTTTCACACTTCCGACTTCGCCGAACGAAACAATTTGTTTTCCAGCTTATCCTTTTACGTACTGGCCCCGTTCAATCGCATTAAATCATCAGTCCTTTATTATTTCGCAGATATTCACATTATATTAACAGTCTCTTCATTTCCATGCGGGTAGTCCAACTGGCAAAAAGCTATTTAACAAAAAACACTTTAAATAAATGAAGAAAATTAAAAAAATAAATAAGGAAGATGCTATAAATTATTAAAATATTAGACTATACGTAAGATCTGGCTGTAGTCCTGGTAACCTTATGGCTTACCTTTTTTTAAGTCACCATTCTTCTCAGTGTCCCTTTGATGGAGCAGCCTAACGAATCCTTTCTTTTCCTTTTTCATCCTTCGCGCAGCCAAGTTGTTTCACATGCCGCCACAATTGCCTTCATCCGACTTCACTGTCTGTCATCTGGCTTTTTTCACATTTCCTCGCCGCCGCCTGCAGGTTCTTCTTGGGCTTTCCGGCCCACTTGCATTATGGCCCTGCTGCAGTCTGGCTTCTGAATTGTGATTCTGCGGCTTGCATTGTTCGAATGTAAATTCCGCTGCCAGGAGTCCACTCAAAGTTTGCGGTTCGAAGAACTAAATGTCAACAGTTTTCATAAATCTGCCAGGGGTGGTGGACATCATCAGATCAGCCAGCCGGCTTCCAGGCAGCCAGGCAGCCAGTCAGCAAGCCAACCAAGTCCCCTCCGCTAGTATAATCCTGATTGTCCCGTCTCGAAGTTAACTTAAGTGCTCCAAGTGGAAGCTGACAGTCGCTCCTTTTCTTGCTGGCTTGGTCTGGCTTGTTTGTTCGCTGTTTGTTTGCCAGTTTGGCCAGTGACTTTTGCTGAACTGTTCCTGACGTGTCCTTAAAGATAAATAATTTGACGAATGGTTTCTCCAAATGAAATTTGTAATTCTTGGCAAGAATTTTAAGTTCTTTGTACTCTGACTCCACAAAGTGTTTTCTATAAATATTGAGCTGTTTGAAAACGAATTACGACCTGTTTTGTTCCATTCTGTGGAATTTCTTGTCAATTACTTTCCATTAGCCAGCCATTGTAATGCTAAGCAGAACTTTCAACTTTCGCTGCTTTTGGCCAAATGTCCGAAAACACATATTGGCCAAGGCTCGGCTAAGGTGGCAACACAATAATATTTTATGACCCGGCATTAACATGGCCATTGACAGGTCCGAAACTAAACCATTGTGTCTCAGCAAATGCCAAAAGTGCCGTTGCCCGGAATCAATTCACCAGAAACCAGTTCTCATAAGCAGTATTCCCTCTCCTCAAGTCCGCATGAGATATGCTTTTAATTAAAGCCATCTTCAGGAGGGCCCACTGTGTTTTCACATTCCTAGAACATTGCCGAACATGAATCGTCAATGCAAATTAGTTGCGGCCTGACCCAAATTGGATGGCGATAAAATTGGTCGAGAGTTCCAAAATCGGTTTAGTCGTAGCCAGGGCCAACGCCTAAAATATGTATTAGCCAGCATGAGGCTGTCACTTCTGCTTTTGGTAATCCAGTCTTGGGCCCTTGTGGCCAGAGGTAAGTGCCAGCACAGTGATAAGCGAAAGTACAGTGAGTACTCACCATTGACGATCTCCTAACAGCCACTCCAGCCAAGCATTGGCGCCGTGCTCCTGCCCAGGGGGTGTTCAATGTGGATGTCTATGCCTACAACAAGCCCCGGATGAACCTGGTGCGTCGCCAGGCCGGTGGATCGTTGGATGCCCCGCCCATGGGTCACCTGCTCCAGCAGATCTCCCAGCACAGCCGGCGATCTGCTGACCCGAGGTCCCACTACAGGAACCTCGATGGCGATGTGAGCCAAATGCGAGGCCAAACAATCGAGGACCCGGCCATAAACATGCAATTAATGCCACTGCAAGTGAACTCCAGCCAGCACGCACAGGGCCAGAGCCATTTATACTCGAGCGAGTTCCATGTGCAAAATATTGGGGCCAAGAAGATAGTGCAATTGAATACCCTGAGCTCGGACCATGACCGTAAACCAGTCGTAGAAGAAGTTGTGGCCGAGAAGCAGGAACAACAGCAGCAGCAACCAGAGCAGCCGCTGAAGGTGAAGCTGTCACTGCCCGAACTGCCAGAGCAGCAGGAGCAGGTTGGGCTGCTGGAGCTGCCGGAGAACAATGTGGCTGCAGGGGCAGAAACTGAGCAGGACACAATCAAAAAACCAGATACCACCCCCTTGACAATCCCCGGAGCGGAAAACCCGACAAGTGTGAAGAAAACCATGGCCCCGAGTGGGACAATTATCGATATGGCAGCGACAGGAATGCAGGAGCTTGTCAACCAGTCGACAGGGCAGAATGCCGATGACACGAACACAAAGGCCTCGAACGTTAAAAAAAGGCCACAAGAAGCTAAAGTCCGGCCAGGACGACCGAAAACCAGGCGAAAGCAAACGGGAACGCAAACGCACACACCAACTGGAACGAGGACTTCTAATGAAACTGATACAAAGATGACAGCAAGTCAAGCATCGAATACTGCAGTCACTCCAGCTCCTGTTCTAAGCCCCATCCTGAAACCGAGTCCTGGTCCGGGGAGTGCCAGGCAGCCGATGAAGGAATTGGAAACACAATCGCCGAAAATCAGCACGCATCGTCCTTTAGCCACCAAGAGCAAGAGCCAGAGCAAGGGTAAGGGCAAGAATAAACGACGTCAGGGCGCGTCCCAAAGACGTCCTGCCAGCGGGGCAATGGCGGAGGAAATTGAAACTACGACAAATTGGTGGCAGATACTGCCGTATGCGGAAATTAGAAAATTTTTGAATACGATTTATGATACCATCGCCGACGATGTTGACGACGAACGTGCCACGGATGATGTGTGAAATCGTTGGGGTTGCGGGAATCCGGATTTAGTGTTTATAGAGGGTCCGGCCGGACGGCGAATTGAATTTCCGCCGGGACCCAACATTGTGTACTGATCAAATAGCCAGTAAGTCGGGGATGTGATTCGATTGTCACAGTAATTTGCAATAAAACGAAATATACTAAGATTAATGAAGCTGCCCACTGGAGCGTGAATTTTTCTGGTCAGCATTGGGCTTGGGAATATTTACGAAAGTGACAGCCTTTTGCAATCTTATTTATAAGTCAATTTATAATACGAAGCATCTCATTCACCCTTTGCATAATGAGGTTCACTTTCAAATGACTTTAAATGTTTGCCCTTATTAATCATCATAATCATAATATTGAAATCATCAAAGACAGCAAAGACGACTTAAATGCCCGATGATCAAAAACAATAACTCGGCTGGGGCACTTAAAAAGCCATCTATTAATTTTTGAATAAACAAATAGAGAACGCGAGAACCCTGTCAGCTTACTTCGCGCCAAATAAAATCTTATAGACAGCTTAATGGGCATTAGACCCGTGGCGTCGCAGGTTAAAGTTGAAAGTGGTCAGACGGCTTCCATTCGTAGCCCAAACAGGTCACGCCGGGCCCCAGACAGTTGGCCAGGTAAGCTTTGAATCAAGCCCCCGTTAATGAGCTGAGAATTTTGTTTACGGCCCGTGACTCAGCCGTAAGAAGACCCTGGCAACTGATTGATTGGCCTTGGCGAAAGATTAGTATCTAAATTAATAATAAGGAAGCTTTAATTTTTGTTATTAATTACATTTTTATTGAAATACCAGCAAGGCATATTTCTGTTTAGAAAAGTAATTAAAGGAAGTCCGACGTCGCAGTTTCCTTCTCCTTCTCCGTTCCGACTTCGGTTTCACTTCGGCCACAATATATATCCTCGATCCGCTGTCCTGGGGGCTCAGTTCGAAGACTTCTGGAGCAGGCATCGAGGGTGCTTGGGTGGTGGCTTGGGGCGCAGCTGCCTGCGGGAGGGGAACGCTGAAGGCATGACCCTCGTACAAGTGTAGCTGCCAGCCGCAGAGGTCAGGGGTCACCATGCACTTGACAGTGGTATTATCCGATATAAGTTTCGCTTCGGTCAGGTTCAGCTTTGTCAATTCCTGCAGACCAGTGGCTTCGACTGCAGCCGCATCCGCCGTACACATCGACAGTAATAATAGCCACAAAGAGCCTTGAAATGGTTGGACGGAGCTCATTTCAATTTCACCTACCACCTCATGGGGCCAAGATCCGACTGGTGGCTCACAGCCACTATTATTATTTGATAGTGGAGTGGGGCAACTGAAACCAGTTTGCATGAATAGATTCGCTGAAAGTGCTGTCATGTCAAAAGAATTATGATTCACATTCCGATGTCTTGTGAAGCGAATGGCACGGTATAGTAGCTTTTGAAACTGTGTTTATTCAAGGAAACACCAGAAAGTATGGTAACTCTTGATTCCTTTGTAAGTAGGGTTCTTTATTAAGTTGGTTGCCCCTGGGGGGTAGTGTTCTTCGATTTCTCCCTCGGACTCACCGTCGGTAATCGGTCAAAGGTATGAATCTTTGGCGATTTTTAGAGTTGGTACAAAGGTTGGGATAGTAAAAGCAAAAGTCAAGATCGTAGTGATAGCCTCTGTCATCATTGTTCCTTAACATTTCTTGGCAAATAGGCAGTGCCGGATAGATGTCACATAGACTGGGTTCTTCGGGAACTTCTGGCTCTGTAGGATTTGTAGGAGGTGATGTTTCTTGGCATAGAGGCAGCTCAGGAAAAATGTCACAGATTTTGGGTTCTTCGGGGACTTCTGGCTCTGTGGGAGGCGTGGTTTCTTGGCACAGAGGGAGTTGAGGATAAATATCGCAAATATTTGGTTCTTCTGGATTTTGGGGCTCTGTAGGTTTGGTAGGGGGTGTTGGCTCGGTGGTGGGTCGAGGGGTTCGAGTAGGTCTTCTTGTAGTTGTGGTGGTACTTCTAATAAATTTTGAAAATATGTTTCCCACATTCCAAACAGGTATTTTGATTTCTATTTCATGTCCATGCGAACTTGAAATAAGCAGACTTGTGAGGAATACGAAGAACGAAAATGATAACTTGCAGATCAGCATCATCCTCCTCGACTTTTGCTAAACTAATCCTCTTTCTTTTTTAACACCTTTTTTATACTCCCAAGCCTATTAAATGAAATCGAAATTTGCGAAATCGACAAAAGATAAACCCTCATAAACCAAAGGAATTAATAGATTCTAGAAATAGATCTATTGTGAATTTACTAATCAAATTAGCAAAAATTTATTGATGAATAAAACACAGCTGCGGCACGATCATCAAATAAATTATTAAAGAACTATTATGGTTAAGTATATCCACCTGTTTTTAGACGAAACCCATGTGGGCCCGAGGAATGTGGCGATTTCCCTTCGAGTGGGGATATTAAAAGTAATGGTCTGCCATTTGCATCTGATAATCTCACGAACTGAGCTTCTTCGGGTCTCATACACAAACGGGGGTAGTAGAAACAAAGAGACGTCATAGAGTGTGGCACAGTTTCGATCGAAAGCTTCTGCTCTGTCTGCAACACGTCATTTAGTGTTGGCTGCTTTTTGATTTTGATGGCATTTTTCTTCACAGAAGCTACTTTGGACTTCTGGCATTCGGGAAGATAATGATACTTCGAGCAGAGATCACGAGCAGGTGGAGTCGTTGTGGATTCCGGGGTTTCCTCGGTGGTGGATGCCTCGGTTGTTGGGGACTCAGTTGTGGCCTCGGTGGTCACTACACTTGCTGCTGTTGTAGTTTCTGAGTTGGAATCAGTAGTGGTTTCCACAGTTGTTGCAGCCTCAGTTGTTGTTGCAGGTTCCGTGGTAATTGGGAGGGTTGTTGTTTCTGTTGGGGCCTCGGTGGTAGTAGGATTTGTGGGCGGCTCAGTTGTTGTTTCAGTTGGTGGCTTAGTGGGCTTAGTTGGCTCATTTGGCCATGGGTATTCATACGGAGAATACAAATAGTAAGGTGGCCAATAGATAGATTGGTAAGGATCGTAATAATCGTAGGACTGAGGCCAGTATTGCTCCTTATAAGGACGTTCCTTTCTCCTCTGATTATTGGGTCGTCCGTTCATGAAACCGGTTATACCCGAAAAAATTCCATGTACATCCTTCACAGGAATTTTTACTTGAACTTGGCGGCTGGCACTCGTCAGAAGGTTCCAATTGGGTCCGGCACCGGCAAGAAGTATCCACAGAATCGCTTTATGTAGCATCAACATGATGACAATAAATGTATCACTGACTAGTAAAGACTAGAGACGCCCTTTTATATTCCATCAGAGATTCTAAATGCATTCTAGATTATTAATCACCAGAAAAAGTTCAGTATCAAGAATCTTTATAGCAGAAATGCTTTGATCTAATGTAAGATTTTCTTAAGTATATTTTAATTTATTGACTGTTTACAATAAATGATCTACAGATTAAATAAGACATTAGGGTTCCTATCGTACATGCATCTAAAAGAGAAAGCTGTTCTTGTTTCAGATTGATAATAAAATAGTTTTTATGAATATATATAGTATTACCACTCAGAGAATTTAAATGTTCCTCCAATTTAATCTAATCCATTACCTTTAAACATTATCCATTACCAATATATTAACCCCGTTGATTATTTTTTTTCTTGACTAATCGGTAAACATATTTATTTCTAGGTGTCGTGTATCCCCGGGCCGGTCTGAATCTATCAGGTCTTGGTAATGAGGCCTTTGGCCGTTTCGTCGTTGTTGGGAATGTGCGAGACATTGGAGTACCTCCGGGCATAATCAGAAGCATTGGCTTTCCGAATCCATCAGTCACACGCATATACTGCGCCTCCTCGGGCCGGGCACAAAGGCGTGGGTAGTTGTGGCACAGCGAGGTCATGGATTGAGGCGGGGATTGCACTGTCAGTTGTTGTTCTGGCCGAAGCCTTCCAGCGTCGGTTTCTAATCCTTCAAGACTTAGGACTGTAGGAATATTTATGGAATTGTGCATCTGGCTTGTGCGCAAAAACAAAATATTTCCAGTCTTTTTTGAAGAAACGGCTGTTCCTCCAGGTGTTGATGATCCTCCAGTTGTTGAAGATCCTCCAGTTGTTGAAGATCCTCCAGTCGTTGATGATCCTCCAGTCGTTGAAGATCCTCCTGTAGTTGATGATCCTCCTGTTGTTGATGATCCTCCAGTGGTTGATGATCCTCCAGTGGTTGAAGATCCTCCTGTAGTTGAAGATCCTCCTGTAGTTGATGATCCTCCAGTTGTTGAAGATCCTCCGGTAGTTGAAGAACCGGTTGGTGTTGAGCTGGGCACGATGGTTGTATTAGTTGCAGCCTCGGTGGTTGTTGAAGATGGGGTCTCAGTGGATATTGGACTGTCACTGGAGACAACTGGAGCTGGAGTGGTGGTAGTCCTTCTAGTGGTTGTGGTTCTTTTAGTGGTTGTGGTCCTTCGTGTGGTCGTAGTCTTTCTTGTTGTTCGTCGGGTGGTGGTACTCTTTCTTGTCGGCTTACGGGTCGGCCTAGGTCTTGGTCGATTTGGCCGATTTGGTCTCAGAGGCCTCAGTGGCCGTGGAGGTCGGGGAATCGGCATTGGAATAGGTATCGGCAAGGGCAAAGGTTCCAGTGGAACCGTGTCACCACCAGAGTTAGATCCTTGCTTTTTATTTAAATATTTTTGCAAAACGGCGTTGTAATAGCTATCCCAAGCTGAATTAATATCAGACGATGCCTGTGGCACTGGAGTGGTGCTGGCTGCTCCAAACGCGTTGGATAATCGAGAGTATAGATCATTCACATCCCACAATGGAGCATTCAACCGGAGTGCTGCCTCTGAATTCTCACTCCTTACACGGACAACGATTGTAAGTAAAATGATCTCACGGATCGATAGCATGGCCAGGTTTTGATTTTATATAGTTAATGATTGAGCTTAGACTAAATCCACTGCCGTGCCGAAGATGTCTTTTATAGACACAGCTGCAAATAATAAAAACTCTGATGATGCCCTGAGGCCAGTGCCGGCAAAAGAACCTTACAGTTAATGCGTCTTTCCACTTAACAAGTAAACAAATGACGATTGTTTCATGCCTTTCAAAGTTTGAGAGCATCGACTACGGAAAAGGTGCTGCATCGTCTTGCTTTTTAAACATATTTCTAACCAAAAGGTGTATCAATTAGGTCAAATTGCTAAAACTGGCTTGAATACCTTACCTAATTGAGCGGATCATCATATTTCATATTAAGTCTATTGTTTAAGAATGGCTTGTAATAATTATTTATTGGGTAAAATTCGAATCAGGTAAAGGAAAAATTAGCTTTGTTGGTCAGCGATCCGTTTTATAGCTCGCCAAAGGGTCGGTGGGTGAATGGGTTGAGCCGATCTTCCTTCGACTGGTGATATCAAGACTAGGGGCTTTCCATTTCCATCGGTGGCCTGCACAAACTGGGCTTCTTCCGGTTTCATACAGAGACGCGGGTAGAAGAAACACAGCGACGTCACAGATTGGGGCACCGAAATTATTGACAGCTGCTGACCTGGCCTATACTGAAAAGATGCTGCATTGTCTTGCTTTTCAGAGCTTTCATTAATGCCTATTTTTTTCGCGGACTGGCAACTTGGTAGATTCGGATAGGCAGAGCAAAGGTCAGAATCTTCTGGCGACTCCGCAATTGTTGTGGGTAAGGCAGTCGACGTTGTCAAAGCTACTGTGGATGATGAACTAGTTGTAGGAAGGGCAGTAGATGTTGTCGAATCCTCTGTCGTTGTAGAACTGGAGAAAGGAATAGCATTTGATGTCGCTGTTGCCTCAGTAGTCGATGAACTCGTAGCGGGGACTGCATTAGATGTGGATGTTGCCTCAGTTGTTGTTGAACTGGTTGTGGGAGCAGCAGTGCTCGTGGATGTTGCCTCAGTTGTTGATGAACTACTTGTGGGAGCAGCAGTGCTCGTGGATGTTGCCTCAGTTGTTGTTGAACTAGTTGTGGGAGCAGATGTTGTGGATGTTGCCTCAGTTGTAGTTGAGCTGGTTGTGGGAGCAGATGTTGTGGATGTTGCCTCAGTTGTAGTTGAACTGGTTGTGGGAGCAGATGTTGTGGATGTTGCCTCAGTTGTAGTTGAACTGGTTGTGGGAGCAGATGTAGTGGATGTTGCCTCAGTTGTTGATGAACTGGATGTGGGGAGAGCAGTGCTCGTGGATGTTGCCTCAGTTGTTGTTGAACTAGTTGTGGGAGCAGATGTTGTGGATGTTGCCTCAGTTGTAGTTGAGCTGGTTGTGGAAGTAGATGTTGTGGATGTTGCCTCAGTTGTAGTTGAACTGGTTGTGGGAGCAGATGTAGTGGATGTTGCCTCAGTTGTTGATGAACTGGATGTGGGGAGAGCAGTGCTCGTGGATGTTGCCTCAGTTGTTGTTGAACTAGTTGTGGGAGCAGATGTTGTGGATGTTGCCTCAGTTGTAGTTGAGCTGGTTGTGGAAGTAGATGTTGTGGATGTTGCCTCAGTTGTTGATGAACTGGATGTAGGGAGAGCAGTGCTCGTGGATGTTGCCTCTGTAGTCGATGAACTACTTGTAGGGAGAGCAGTGCTCGTGGATGTAGCCTCAGTTGTAGTTGAGCTGGTTGTGGAAGTAGATGTTGTGGATGTTGCCTCAGTTGTTGATGAACTGGTTGTGGGAGCAGATGTTGTGGATGTTGCCTCAGTTGTTGATGAACTGGTTGTGGGAGCAGATGTTGTGGATGTTGCCTCAGTTGTAGTTGAACTGGTTGTGGGAGCAGATGTAGTGGATGTTGCCTCAGTTGTTGATGAACTGGATGTGGGGAGAGCAGTGCTCGTGGATGTTGCCTCTGTAGTCGATGAACTACTTGTAGGGAGAGCAGTGCTCGTGGATGTTGCCTCAGTTGTAGTTGAGCTAGTTGTGGGAGCAGATGTTGTGGATGTTGCCTCAGTTGTTGATGAACTGGATGTAGGGAGAGCAGTGCTCGTGGATGTTGCCTCTGTAGTCGATGAACTACTTGTAGGGAGAGCAGTGCTCGTGGATGTTGCCTCAGTTGTAGTTGAGCTAGTTGTGGGAGCAGATGTTGTGGATGTTGCCTCAGTTGTAGTTGAACTGGTTGTGGGAGCAGATGTTGTGGATGTTGCCTCAGTTGTAGTTGAACTGGTTGTGGGAGCAGATGTAGTGGATGTTGCCTCAGTTGTTGATGAACTGGATGTGGGGAGAGCAGTGCTCGTGGATGTTGCCTCAGTTGTTGTTGAACTAGTTGTGGGAGCAGATGTTGTGGATGTTGCCTCAGTTGTAGTTGAGCTGGTTGTGGAAGTAGATGTTGTGGATGTTGCCTCAGTTGTTGATGAACTGGATGTAGGGAGAGCAGTGCTCGTGGATGTTGCCTCTGTAGTCGATGAACTACTTGTAGGGAGAGCAGTGCTCGTGGATGTAGCCTCAGTTATAGTTGAGCTGGTTGTGGAAGTAGATGTTGTGGATGTTGCCTCAGTTGTTGATGAACTGGTTGTGGGAGCAGATGTTGTGGATGTTGCCTCAGTTGTTGATGAACTGGTTGTGGGAGCAGATGTTGTGGATGTTGCCTCAGTTGTAGTTGAACTGGTTGTGGGAGCAGATGTAGTGGATGTTGCCTCAGTTGTTGATGAACTGGATGTGGGGAGAGCAGTGCTCGTGGATGTTGCCTCTGTAGTCGATGAACTACTTGTAGGGAGAGCAGTGCTCGTGGATGTAGCCTCAGTTGTAGTTGAGCTGGTTGTGGAAGTAGATGTTGTGGATGTTGCCTCAGTTGTTGATGAACTGGTTGTGGGGGCAGATGTTGTGGATGTTGCCTCAGTTGTAGTTGAACTGGTTGTGGGAGCAGATGTTGTGGATGTTGCCTCAGTTGTTGATGAACTGGATGTGGGGAGAGCAGTGCTCGTGGATGTTGCCTCTGTAGTCGATGAACTACTTGTAGGGAGAGCAGTGCTCGTGGATGTTGCCTCAGTTGTAGTTGAGCTGGTTGTGGGAGCAGATGTTGTGGATGTTGCCTCAGTTGTTGATGAACTGGATGTGGGGAGAGCAGTGCTCGTGGATGTTGCCTCTGTAGTCGATGAACTACTTGTTGGGAGAACGGTGCTCGTGGATGTTGCCTCAGTTGTAGTTGAGCTGGTTGTGGGAGCAGATGTTGTCGATGTTGCCTCAGTTGTTGATGAACTGGTTGTGGGAGCAGATGTTGTGGATGTTGCCTCAGTTGTTGATGAACTGGATGTGGGGAGAGCAGTGCTCGTGGATGTTGCCTCTGTAGTCGATGAACTACTTGTAGGGAGAGCGGTGCTCGTGGATGTTGCCTCAGTTGTAGTTGAGCTGGTTGTGGAAGCAGATGTTGTCGATGTTGCCTCAGTTGTTGATGAACTGGTTGTGGGAGCAGATGTTGTAGATGTTGCCTCAGTTGTAGTTGAACTGGTTGTGGGAGCAGATGTTGCCTCAGTTGTAGTTGAACTGGATGTGGGGAGAGCAGTGCTCGTGGATGTTGCCTCTGTAGTCGATGAACTACTTGTAGGGAGAGCAGTGCTCGTGGATGTTGCCTCAGTTGTAGTTGAGCTGGTTGTGGGAGCAGATGTTGTGGATGTTGCCTCAGTTGTTGATGAACTGGTTGTGGGAGCAGATGTTGTAGATGTTGCCTCAGTTGTAGTTGAACTGGTTGTGGGAGCAGATGTTGTGGATGTTGCCTCAGTTGTTGATGAACTGGATGTGGGGAGAGCAGTGCTCGTGGATGTTGCCTCTGTAGTCGATGAACTACTTGTAGGGAGAGCGGTGCTCGTGGATGTTGCCTCAGTTGTAGTTGAGCTGGTTGTGGAAGCAGATGTTGTCGATGTTGCCTCAGTTGTTGATGAACTGGTTGTGGGAGCAGATGTTGTAGATGTTGCCTCAGTTGTAGTTGAACTGGTTGTGGGAGCAGATGTTGTGGATGTTGCCTCAGTTGTTGATGAACTGGATGTGGGGAGAGCAGTGCTCGTGGATGTTGCCTCTGTAGTCGATGAACTACTTGTAGGGAGAGCAGTGCTCGTGGATGTTGCCTCAGTTGTAGTTGAGCTGGTTGTGGGAGCAGATGTTGTGGATGTTGCCTCAGTTGTTGATGAACTGGTTGTGGGAGCAGATGTTGTAGATGTTGCCTCAGTTGTAGTTGAGCTGGTTGTGGGAGCAGATGTTGTGGATGCTGCCTCAGTTGTTGACGAACTCGTCGTAGGAACTGCAGTGCTCGTAGAAGTTTCCTCTGTTGTAGGAACAGCAGTGCTTGTGGAAGTTTCCTCGGTTGTTGGAACTGCAGTGCTGGTGGATGTAGCCGCAGTTGTAGGAACAGCAGTGCTAGTAGTTGTTGCCTCAGTTGTTGACGAACTCGTCGTAGGAACTGCAGTGCTCGTAGAAGTTTCCTCTGTTGTAGGAACAGCAGTGCTTGTGGAAGTTTCCTCGGTTGTTGGAACTGCAGTGCTGGTGGATGTAGCCGCAGTTGTAGGAACAGCAGTGCTAGTAGTTGTTGCCTCAGTTGTTGATGAACTCGTCGTGGGAACTGCAGTGCTCGTAGAAGTTTCCTCTGTTGTAGGAACAGCAGTGCTTGTGGATGTAGCCGCCGTTGTAGGAACAGCAGTGCTAGTAGTTGTTGCCTCAGTTGTTGACGAACTCGTTGTAGGAACTGCAGTGCTTGTGGAAGTTTCCTCGGTTGTAGGAACAGCAGTGCTTGTGGATGTAACCGCCGTTGTAGGAACAGCAGTGCTAGTAGTTGTTGCCTCAGTTGTTGATGAACTAGTTGTAGGAGCATTTGTTGTGGATGCTGCCTCAGTTGTTGACGAACTCGTCGTGGGAACTCCAGTGCTCGTAGAAGTTTCCTCTGTTGTAGGAACAGCAGTGCTTGTGGAAGTTTCCTCGGTTGTTGGAACTGCAGTGCTGGTGGATGTAGCCGCAGTTGTAGGAACAGCAGTGCTAGTAGTTGTTGCCTCAGTTGTTGATGAACTCGTCGTGGGAACTGCAGTGCTCGTAGAAGTTTCCTCTGTTGTAGGAACAGCAGTGCTTGTGGATGTAGCCGCCGTTGTAGGAACAGCAGTGCTAGTAGTTGTTGCCTCAGTCGTTGACGAACTCGTCGTAGGAACTGCAGTGCTCGTGGAAGTTTCTTCGGTTGTAGGAACAGCAGTGCTTGTGGATGTAGCCGCCGTTGTAGGAAGAGCAGTGCTCGTAGAAGTTTCCTCAGTTGTAGGAACAGCAGTGCTTGTGGATGTTGCCGCAGTGGTCGATGTTGTGGGCACGTCTGTCGAAGAAGTTTGGACTTCAGTAGATGTTGTTGGTGCCTGTGTAGTCGAAGTTGAAGTCGATAGTTGGCATATCGGTAAGTTGGGGAAAAATAGACAAAGAGGACTTTGCGTAGATGTTGCTTCAGTTGTTGAAGTCGGAATCGTCGAAGAAGTTGTAGGTGCTTGCGTGGACGTTGAAGCTGGCAGGGCTGTGGAGGTTGTTGGTGGTTGTGTGGTTGTTGAAATCGTGGTTGGTAGAGCTGTAGACGTGGTTTGTATTCCTGTTGAAGTAGGAATAGCGGTGGATGTGCTCGGAGGTTGGGCCGTTGAAGATGTCTGAGGACTCTGAGTAGTTGTTGGAATTGTAGTCGATGTTGGTGGCGGTGCTGTAGTTGTTGATATTACTGGAGTCTGAGTTGTAGTTTGAAAGTCATATGGTGAATATTGTCCGAAATATCCGTAGGGGCCATAAGGTCCGTAAGGCCCATATGGATTGTACAGTGCTGGATTCTGGTAAGCACTCGACAGGTAATTGTAGTATTCGTTCAGATAGTTGTTATAATTGTTTTCGTTATCCTGGTTGTTGTTATTTGGCGGTCGTTGTGCGTTGGTGTTGTCATTAACAGTCGGAACTCCTGCGACGCGGGTAAGGAAATTTATAGGGTCCCACACCGGTATCCTAACTTTTATAGACTGGCCACCACCTTGACATGCCAGCAAGATCAACAAACCGACCGTAGACAGTAGCATTTCCAAAGAGAAATGCACAAGGCTCCGGCTAACGTATAACTGAAATGGCTGTGTCTATTCTTCGCAGCTTTATACAGATTAGTAGAGCCGTAAAATTAAGTCAGAAGACAACGCAAACAATGCCTTAGCTAGTTTATTCTAGGCAAACGAATTAAGACTGTTTATTGATTTAATTAATTTATAGTTCCAACACGGAAATCAATTTGAACTTGGCAGAAGTTCTATTCATCGCAACAGATGCTAATGTGAAATGCTTCGGAGCATGTTGAAGTGATCTCGTGAAACCCCCTAGAATTGACGATTAGTTCTTAACCAAAAGAGCCTTTTGCTTTTTAGCAGAGAAAAGAATTTGAAATAGAATTTTTTGCAGAATTTATTGAATATCTGTTTACTTTTTTTGTTTTATAATGATTTTTCGGATTTGCAATCTACTTCTTTCCCTCGTATGCAAAGTAGGGAGAGGGCTGGCCCCTGCGATAGATACTACTGTAGGGAAGATAGACAGGCTGAAGCTCACCCTCTGAAGACGCAGAGGCTGAGCTGTGGACATAAATTGGGTTAGAGTTGATGCGGTGGAGCTCGTAAGGATTGACCAGCGGGCGGTGCACGACGTGGTATGGAATGGGAGTGGTGTAATGCTGCCGCTGCGCAACTGCAGTGGAGGTAGTATCCGTGTCGGCTGGTGCAACTGCAGTGGAAGTACTGGCCGTATCCGAGGGTGCGACTGCAGTAGACGTTGCTGGTGCTGCCGTGGTTGTCGTGGTTGTTGTGGTTGTCGAGGTAGTTGAGGATGTCGTTGTTGATGGAGCAACGGCAGTCGAAGTGGTGTCCGTGTTTGCCGGAGCCACTGCCGTAGATGTGGTTGGAGTTGCTGCTGTTGTTGAGTCTGTTGCTACTGCAGTGGAAGTGGTATCTGTGTTAGCAGGTGCCACGGCAGTTGAAGTAGTCGGGGTTCCGGTTGAGGTCGGTAAGGCGGTGGAGGTGCCGGGAGCAGACGTAGTCGTCTCAATATTGGGGGCAACGGTGGTGGAGGTGGCAGCATTATTAGCAGCACTGTTTGGTCCCAATGCTCCATAAGGTCCGAACGCCCCATAAAGTCCGAAAGGTCCGTAAAAGAAATTATTCAACGACTGCTCGTACTGTACATATGATTGGTATGCAGCGTACTGTGCAGCCTCCGCAGCCTCAGCATTTGCGATGTTGTTGTTATTGTTGTTATTATTGTTGTTATTATTGGAAGAGCCGGATCCATTAGCACCTCCGCCTATTCCCAAAGCCGAAATAATGCCGGCAACTCCCGGGGGCAGGGGCAAAGACACTTGAAACTGGCACAGACCCTGGCCAGCCAGCAAGAGGAGCAATCCGACGGTTTTGAATAGCATCTCGAAACGAATTCTACGATGCTCCGGTTAGTTTAGAACTAAGGTGATACCAACGCGCCACGAACAGTTTTATACAGTTCGGCGGCTGTCATAAAGTAGATTATGTCCAAAGCCCACAAAAGACTGGGCTAGGGCCTAGGCTTTGTAAGCCAAATTGGAAATTGGAATTGTGCTCGTGGCCGATCCGTTTCGAAGATTTGAATTTTTATAGGTTCGTCTAGCGAAATCACAGAATTAATCTGGCTGCTTTCATCGCATAAACTTTCAAGTCTAATGACCTGTCATAATGTGTGCCTTTTATTTAACGGAATGCTGTTACAAATCAAGAATTATTTCTTATTTTTAAAACAATATAATTTAATGGCGTTGGCCTAGCCCAAGCGGTAGGGCACGTAGACTGGTCTATAGTAGACGTAATTTGTTGGGCGTCTGTAATAAAGGACACTAGAAGGTTTCGCAGGACCAGTTGAAGCGGTTGGCTTTGAAGTTGGCTGAAGCACTTTGTTCACGGGCTCGTCGATGTCGTATTTGATGCGCGACCCGTTCTTAAAATCTATGTAGTCGTAGTCCTCATCGTTATCAGACCCGTTGGCATCTTTTTCCACTGAGGGCTTTCGGGTAGTGGTGGTGGTGGCTTGGGCGAGAAAGTCCGCCAGCACAGCGGGTGAAATTGTGGGGCTAATCGTTCCAGGGCCCGACTGCTGCAAGCCCTGAAGAATGCCCTGCAGAAACTGCTCCCGTACAATGTTATTTGTCTGCTGAGAGCTTGGGGCTTCATCGGACAGCGGCAATTTCATATTTCCATTGCTGGCAGTTGTATCAACCTGTGGACTTCGTACTGGTATTTCGTCTTGTGGTCTCCGAATTGGGATTCCTGGCAGGGGTGCCCCAATTTGTGGCACGGCACCCGGATATGCCAGCAAATAGAGCAAGGGTAAGGCCGTACGGATGTTTTCTGGCCCGGAGTCCTGGGATACAACTCCTGATTGAATATTACTCACGGCGATTAAGCAGAATACGAGCCCGATTGGTTTCATTTCGAAACGCGTTTAGCTTACAACTAAAGCTGCCTGGGATGAGGTTTTGCAGATTTAGCAGATGTCTCGCGTCTGTGCTACAGAAATGCTAATATCTATTCATTAATAATCTTGTGGTTGGAGAAATCGAACGCGTCGCTCTTAGGTTTCTTTCCCATTCCACTTTTGTTTACACATTTCATTAATTAACAATCACTGATTATGCGGGATAAATCAGTTTAAAAGATATCGCCCCGATGGACCACACTACTTGGAATAGTTTTTTGATTCGATATTTGTTTTGGCAACTAAGCGGCTTATCTGAACAAACTTTGAACGACTTAATTTGAGGGGGAAGGATCTACATTAGGAACTATATTAAAAAGAAAACCACTCTTTCAAAATGCTCTAATTCTTCTCATTTTGATAGTTTTTATTTCTTACCCACAAACTGGTAGTAAGGATCAAACTGGGTTCCTTCATATATTGGATCAAATGGTATGAAAACAGGAATACGCTGGGCTGAAGCTGAAGCTGAGGCTGATGCTCCAGAGTTTGGAATGTAGATCTGTTGGGGATTAATACGATGCACGGTGTAGGGACTGATCAACGAGCTGGGCACAAAGTAGGAGGGTCTAGGCGTGGTATAGTCTCGAAGGTATAAGCTATCTGCCTGGTTTGGTATAACTGCCGTGGATGTAGTATCTGTATTTTGAGGAGCCACTGCAGTGGAAGTTGTGGGTGATGGCGTAGTGGTTGCTTGCGAGGCCACTGCTGTGGATGTGGTCTCAGAGTCTGTAGGAGCCACAGCCGTAGATGTGGTCTCAGAATTTGAAGGAGCTACCGCTGTAGATGTGGTTATAGGTCCGGTTGTGGTCGGTACAGCTGTTGAAGTGGTGTCTGAATTCGTAGGAGCCACAGCGGTAGAGGTGGTATCAGTATCTGTTGGAGCCACTGCCGTTGAAGTGGTAACTGGTCCGGTTGTGGTGGGTAGTGCCGTGGAGGTTGTAGGAGTAGAGCTGGTGGATGATGATGTGTCAGGTGCTGGGGTGGTTGTTGTAGTGGTGGTTGTGGGTGGTGGTGGATTAGGCCCTGGGTAAGGACCTGGGTAAGGACCTGGGTAATGCCCTGGGTAAGGTCCATATCCGTAAGGATTATAATACATCGCGTACAACTCGTAAGCTGCTAGGGATTGGTAATACTGCTGCCACTGAAGATAGCTGATGTAACCATTCAAATAGGCATCGTAGCCAGCTTTGGAGCTGGTTTTATGACCAGAACCAGGACGAGGACCGCCTCCTCCCGCATTTAAAGATGAAAGTATATTTTCCAAATTGCGAATTGGAAGCTTTAAGTCACACCAGCCTTGCCCAGCTAGCAAAACGATTAACGCCAAAGTCCTGATCAACATTGCGGATTAGGATTAAGCTCAACGCCATATGGTTCAAAACTGAAGTGACAGAAGCCAAGTCTGTAGAGTTTTATACAGAATCTAGGGGACTAATTTATTGTATTTGCTAATGGAACTCAAATCAAAGTCCAGGGCATACATTAATAACCCAATGAACTCCCGTAGTAGGAATGTTCTGGTTATCTATTACGAAACATCACAATATGCTAAACTGATTGACACCAATCGAGAAAAAAAGGTTTAAATATATATATATATTAATGTCAACAATAAAGTTGATTGGTTTTATTATTAAATTATGTAGAAATCTATTCGTCCAGTTTATTTATTAACGTTTATTTTATTTAGTTGCCAAAAGGTGAAACTCATGCTTACTTGCAGATTGTTTATCTTTTATTTAGTTTCCAAAAGTTGAAACTCATGCTTACCCAACGATATGTTTAACGAAAGTTTAATCCAAACTTCCAAAACCGGGATAAATATTAAAAGATAATTATTTTTTTAAAATTGTATGCATTTATTTGTTGTATAAAGTTATTTCCAAACATTTCTTAGTAATTTGTTTCCGGCCGTTCAGAATATTGAGTAGCGTACTGAAATTATTTTAGATTTTGGAGAAGATCAATAAATCAATCAATCAATAAAGTACTCTAGTAGTCCTTACCTGCCACTCATCGTCATAGATGGGAGATTGGAACTGTGGGATCTTCACAGTTTTAACATTGGTCAGCAGAGCCTGGTTGGATTTAAGATTTCTCACCAGGACACGGCGTGGCACCTTCCTTCGTACTATTTTACGATTTGCTTTTGGCACCAGGACAGGACCTACAACCGACGAATATTGCCTATAGTAACTAGGCTCCTGGACAGAATCGCTGAAGGCTCTGCCTCCAATCGTAAGGTACTGGACACTGGGCTGCCTTTGTCGGAATCCAAAGAGGTTGCGCAAAAAGCTTCTCAGAGAGAGATTATTTTGGCTGGAGGACAGTGAGAAACTGCTGTTTCCCATCAGGTTAATGGTTTGGAAGCCCTCGTTGCTTTCGGAGACCGAAAAATTGTTGACTTTAAACACGTCACGCTGCCAAGGGAAGAAGCCCAAAGGACGGTTTGAAAAACTTCCTTCGCTCACAGTTAGGGGATAACCCTGTAAAGTGTAGACTTGCACTTGACTTGCAATCAAGTTGGCCTGAAGGATCAGGACCATGCCGATTATAGACACCAACATTGCGACGAGGCTCACGAAAAACTATTTATTCCAGAGTTCAGGGTTCCAGATTTCAGACTAAAGTGTTTGGGCCACGGTGAGGATCTTTTATAATCAGAACCAGAGGCCTTATCTTTATTGTAATTAATGGATCAATTTTTTCCGCTCTTTTCGAACTTGCGGTGACAATTAATTATCAATTGGATCAGATTTGCTATTTCTTGGTAAAGTTGGTCTCAAAATATTGTCGGAAAGTTTTGTTCCAGAGCTAGAGATGAGTTCTCCAGAATTCTGAAAGATGGTAGAGCCGTGACTACTTCATTAAAATAAATGCCCTGTTCCTGAAAGGGTCAGTACTCTTTTTAAAATAGAGTATAACTCCAATAGGCCTAAAAATTTAACAATGAGGTTCTAATTACCTAATAATATCCAAAATAAAACTATAAAATTTGAGGACCATAGCTCGAAAAGAAAATGACAAATTTCTTAATTAACGCCCTAGGAGCATATTTTGGAAGAGATTTGTCGCTTAGTGGTAATCATACTTAACCGCTTCTATGCTCCGCAATAAAGAAAAGAAACTGGCCGGGCCTTTTGAGCCATAAAAGTGCAAAAACAACAAGCAACCGTTAGTCCAACCAGCTGGCTATAATCGGTGACGCCGATCTAAGAAAATAAAGCTGAAGCTTGTAACTGGTTGGGTGTGTTCTGAGCTGATTTTAATAGCCGAATAAATTTGCATGCATTCTCTTGGCTAGCAGGGTGACTAGCCATTTCTTTGGACGGATCTTTTGAAAATAATTTTGCAAAGTAGGTTAATGTTCAGTGGTTCAATGGGATCGTTACTGTTTTTGGCAATAACTCTGGTTGACTTCGTTCGGCGACTAGGACAAGTATAAAAAGCACAGGTGATGCGATCTGTCAATCAGTTTCAAGTGAACCTCTTCCGCCATGAGCACCAAGTTGGTTCTCTGCCTGTGCCTGGCGCTCTTCGGAGCCCTGGCCACGGCCCGTCCCGAGGTGGATACCGTCGATCCAACAGCCGAGCTGGAGAATAGCCAGGAGCAGGAGCTGAACAGCGTGGAGGACACCGACGTCCAGGCCGATCCTTCGACTTGGCGCAAGCTACTGGGAGACGGCAGCACCGGAAACCTGGTCATTACTTTCCCCTCGACAACCACCACCACCAAGCCGAAGAGCAGCAAGCGTCCCCACTACCCCTCTCCACCCAAGTACCCGACGTACCCGTACCAGCCGTACCCGTACCCATACCCCTACCCCGGGGGATACTATCCACCACCACCGCCATATCCCTATCCATGGACCCCGGGTCCCGGAGGTCATGGCGGACATGGAGGCCATGGAGGCCCACCCCCAAAACACACGACGACCACCACCACCACCACGACAACCACCACACCTAAGCCTAAGCCAGACCCTGGACACCCCCATCCTGGACACGGACCGCCACCAGGTCATCATGGTCATCACCCGTACCCACCTTACCCATATCCTCCCTACTATCCGTACCCACCACCTCCACCACCACCGCCGCCACCACCACCACCACCAAGCAACGACTCTGGGGAGAGCTCCGGCGAAACCACTACTCACAACAAGTGCAAAAACATCCTGGGCCTGGGATGGCTTTGCGCAAACTAAAACTCAAAACCTTTTTTATTTTATTTAATTGCAATTTATTTATTTCTCGAATAAAAAAATGACACATTACATTTTAATATTTATTTATTACTATATAGTAGCTAGAAATCATGGATTTTTGATTTTCCCCATTTTTGACCTTCAAAATGCCATAGCTTCTTGAATTTACATCGGATCGGGAAAACACATGCATTTCTATGATTAGAGCTCCGAGTAGCTTAATCCCTCATACAAAACCTTCCCTTAAAACAGTTTTTAAATTTTTCGAATTTTTCCAAAGGGTACCCCTTAAAAATCATGGATTTTTGATTTTCCCCATTTTTGACCTTCCAAATGCCATAGCTTCTTGAATTTACATCGGATCGGGAAATCACATGCATTTCTATGATTAGAGCTCCGAGTAGCTTAATCCCTCATACAAAACCTTCCCTTAAAACAGTTTTTAAATTTTTCGAATTTTTCCAAGGGGTACCCCTTAAAAATCATGGATTTTTGATTTTCCCCATTTTTAACCTTCCAAATGCTATAGCTTCTTGAATTTACATCGGATCAGGAAAACAAATGCATTTCTATGATTAGAGCTCCGAGTAGCTTAATCCCTCATACAAAACCTTCCCTTAAAACAGTTTTTAAATTTTTCGATTTTTTTCCAAGGGGTACCCCTTAAAAATCATGTATTTTTGATTTTCCCCATTTTTGACCTTCAACATGCCATAGCTTCTTCAATTTACATCGGATCGGGAAAACACATGCATTTCTATGATTAGAGCTCCGAGTAGCTTAATCCCTCATGCAAAACCTTCCCTAAAAACAGTTTTCAAATTTTTCGAATTTTTTCCAAGGGGTACCCCTTAAAAATCCCACAATAACATTGAACAATATTTGATGAAACCGTGGTTGGCGTATAGCGCCACCACAGGTGCCCTGGGGATGCGGATCTAATTGACGGCGACAGGCTCATTAACATGCTTGTCAGAACCAGAGACGTTGCAACTAAATTCGGATTTTGTTTAGCTTACATTTCACACTTTTTTGTGTGAAATTCATATTTGGTTTAGCTTTGAATCGAATATGCTCCAAAATCAAACAATGAGGATGAACCGAAGGTGGTCGAACAGCGTGGAGCTCATTATAAAGATAAAGTTCGAACAATGGAGTTGATGTCTGTCATCTAATAGCCCAGATTGTTTATCGGCACTCGGATTGTTGGCAGACTTTCTGGCGACACTAATTAAATGTCCGCTCGCCATTACTAAATCAAAACAATTCCAAAACAGGACAAACAAGAGCCGAAGATGCAGATACACAAAGGCCAGACCAGTTAACTATTTTATCCTTCGTCCCACTCAACGAAACTCGGATAGGATACGCGCCGCGTTCGTGTTCCGAAAATCGTAAATTTCGGATGTTGTTAAAAAAGTTTTTGGCAGCGGCATAAATCTGCGGCCAACAACAGGACAACAAAGTCAGTTCACTAACGAGCCAAAATCGTTGACTGGAAATCCTTGAGTAGAGAAATAATGCCTATAAATATGCTCAAGAAATTGTCTGTGCCTGTGCCTGGGCCTGCTGGGGCCTTTGTGGGAATCAATTGAGTCAAAGGCACAACTTTTTGCCAACCATCCGAAGGTCAACAGCGCAATTTGTTTTGCCAAATATGTGGTGGAGAGTGGATGGATGAATGGCCTCAAGCTGGAGGACCTAGGTGGGCCGCAATTATGAATACTTGCGATGGCCCGAAGGCATCATATCTATCGAAGAAAATCGGAGGCGAACTGATTGTTTAAACAAAGGCTTAATTACGCAGTTGCTATCGGGAAAGTGGGTAATTACTAGCAGATTACCAGGTTATTTATGAAATATGCAGAGCACAAATAAAATAGTATAAAACACGTACCCGGACTCCATAAATATGCCAACCGGCTTAGCCAGCTGGCCATAAACTATACATTTGCCGGGGCCAGCATTGTTCAAATGTAAATACCCCAGCCGACCGACCCCCTGCTGGCGGGAGCATCTTGGCCAAAAGCAATTCAATCCTGAGTTAGAGCCTGGCAACCGGCGGAAGTACTTGGAGTGGCGGAAATACAAATGAAGTTAGCCATATCAGTTGGACTTACTTAGTCGACATTTTTATGGTATTTCGCATTGTTAGGCCAACTTTTGGGCCAAAAACGAAACAGGAACATGAAAATGAAAAGTCAGCAAGCGCTTTTTATGTGCTTAGAGACTGTTATTAAAAATTTGATCTTCCTGGAAGCCCAGACATTAAACGTACTTCACTTGGCACTTGCCTACCAAATCGGTTTGGGAATTCTCCAAAAATAAAAGAAGAAATAAAACAAATTAAGAGAGAACCAGACAAATGAAACGAATTCAACTTGATTCGTTTGTGTGTTTTTTTTTGCAGCAGCAATTTGTTGAACAAATTTTAAAACATCGCTGTATGTTGAAGGATATGAGTGAATGAATGTGTGTGTGTTTTGGTGTGTGTGTGGGTATTTCAAATATAATTTGCACTCAACAAATAAATCGCCCGACTCTCCTTCAGCCAACCCTCGTCTACACTTGGCCATTGTTCACGACAATAGACGTCTGCGTATGGCTTTTCACTTTAATTGTGTGAAATTATTTTGAAAAAGTGTTTCGCTTTTCATTTGGTCCACTTCTCCATTTTTCCTCTCCAGCGTTTTGTTTCTTTTTTATTTTTGTATTTCTGGGTGCTTTTCCTACCATTTTCCGTTTTTGTTAACGATTCGTTTAGCACAAGGCCATATTTATTTGAATGGCAGCCTTTTAATGTCGATTTTTATTGTGCGCTTTTATCGCACAAATTGCCTAGACAAATGAGACAGAGAAAAACAATTTGAGGATACCTAAGTATAAATATATTTTTCACAAATATTAAACGCATTGCGTTTGATGAAAAAACGCTTTTTAAGTTCATGGAAAATGAATATTTTTTAAGCCTCCTTCAGATAGCCATCGAAGTTTTAATTAAGGTGAACATTAATTAACATCGCGGGCCAACATTCAGATGCCCATTCCCCGAACCAATCATCTCTATTCCAGACAGACTCATCTGCTTGCTTTCGGCCATCCTTGTAGGCACATTTACGTCAGAAGTGATTGTAATGAGTTTTTCATATTCCCCCACTGGTGTAGCCCCGCCACAGCTCTGTCAATTTGAAAATGACTTCGTCTTCCTTTGGCCGACTGTCTATCGGAGTGTCAGTCCAGAAAACACTCGCCTGTCAGAAAGAAACAAAAAATTACGAAATAAATGTAGTCCTGCCAGTCCTGCTGTCGAAGTAATCAAAATGTGACCGGAGAAATCAAAGCATCTAGAATAAATAGAGAATTAAATATCAGCGGGGTGCCATCTCAACAATGGAAGGCCAAATTTAAAGGCCGCTTTGCCATTTAATTCCTATTAGATTTTCCTTTTTATCCGGGCTCATGCAAAGCATTTAGCGAAGACAAGCGAGAAGTTTAGAGAACAGGGCACGTTGGGTTCTGTTTTTTTGGTCCAGAGCCCCGGAGCATCCGCCAACATCCAACAAAAACAAAAGTCGTCTACGGCAAAGGCGCCAAAGCGAAAGACACCCAACCACCTTCACACACACACTTGGAGAAGGACTCCAAGGTCCTTGGTACCTCGCGGTTCATCCACTTTTACTTTCACCCGTGGTCTTCTGCTGCTTTATCTTTTTTTTTTTAATTTCTTTAAGAGCTAAACAGAAATGGCGAAATAAGCATAATTTCAGACGCCATAAAAACAAAGGCAAGAAAAAAATAAATTCACACAATTTGAAAAACGCAAACACTCAACACGCGGCCACCCTGGCCAGGATCCAGCTGCTTAGCTCCACCGTTTAGACTCCTGCCACTCATACTTTGAGTACAGAGAGGGAAAATATTTTCAGAGGGTTTTAAATAATTGTATTCCATGAAAACAGAAAGAATGTGAAAGCTATTTATCTGATAATGAATTATATATGATTAATAATCTTTCTTTGGATTTTTCCCAGTGCATTTGGTGCTCCTGCAGCTGTTTAATGGCTTCCCCTCACATTGTCCTAGTGTGTGTGTGTGTGTGGTTGATGGCCAGCATTCTTTTCTGGTCTTCTAGTGTTGGAGGAGAATGAATTAAAAAAATGTTTACGACTCGACCGCTTGATTTTCAGCACATTGGTAAAATAGCCGAGGCCAAGGGAACTGAAGAAATGAAAAACTGGAAAACTGAAAAACAACAACATCGCGCTGAAGACCATAACCAAAAGAATGTGCAAAAGCACACCTCCCATTAAGAGCCCCCGTCTTGGCCATCCAACCATTGCAATGGCCAACCATTACTGGGGCAAAACCGATCCCAACCAGAGCGAGTGTGTAAGTGTTTGTGGTGACGGTTTTTTGGGTTACGTTGAAAATGTGGCCAAGGGGAAATCGCCAAGAGAAATTTATTGAGTTTGGACTATTTTACTTTCAATGGTTTTAAAGAGACCCACACTTTTAATATTAACTAGTTGATATTTGATAGAAGAGAACTATACTTATTATTTTCAAACTCGAAATAATATAAATTTTAAAGAAAAACCTACCAAGAGGGTAATTAAAAGTCAGGATTGGCTAATTTCATCTTTTTCTTCGCTATTATGCTTCTTTTTCAGCCCTAAACTTTTAATTATTTCATGGCTGAATCAAGAGCCCTCGCTGAATGGTCAGCATGTGCGGTAAATGAGGCTAAAATTTCGGGCTAGGAAAACAATTCAATAATTGGCAATCAGAGGAGGAGATAGAGAGTAGGAAACCAAGAGCCGAGGATGGCAAAGGAATAAGCCCGAAAATTAATATTGAGTAACTTCGATAGCTGCCACGCGAACTCGATAAACAGGCTAATTAGTTTCTGCTCTTTGGCAATGAGATTGTAATTAGCGGTTGACTGAACTACGGCCCAAATGCGACTCGATGAGGCCAAAATGAATAAATTGTTGCAGTGG